TGAATACCACTTCGCAATTAGTACATGGCAAGTGCCAACGGACGTATGATCCTAGCAACAGCTAACCGTGGGCGCGTGTCACCTCTTCAGACTGCAACATAAAACAGATCCCAGGTTCGAGGTAACACGGACTCGTGTATCTTATCCAAAACAAACATCTGAACAAGCTAACAACTTTCCGACTGAGACAGAAGGATAGAACTAAGTTCTTAACATGATATTTCTATGTTAATTCTACATTTGTCCTATCAACTATTTTTAAACCCTTTTGCGATTTTCGGACATGAATAGGGAGCTCAAGGGGCGAAAATTTTCTTCTCTATATAAAGTGCCTTATGTAAATGAGATCCTCAGCATAAATAAGACACAGACTGCATTTAACTATGGAAGAGTAAGTTAAGCAAAAGAATATCTAGCTCAGTACCTTGCGGGACACTACTTATAATAGGAGTCTCAGTTGAAATTGAGGACCCATCTTTGGTTTTTGATTAGATAAGTATGACCCTGTGAAATCAAGAGAAGCCATAATATGTTCCAATAAATTTTTGCGGGAACAACCACAGTCGAAGAAAGCACCGAGACGAAAGTTCGGGTCTAATAGGTAGCTTCGGAAGATAGCTAAACGATATCATAAGTCCCCCTATTGATGAATGAAGATAAAACCTTCATTCTCGATGAGTCTGACAAGTCCGAATTGTTTAATGCATTCTTTGCAAAACGTCTTACGACATAATCTGAACTGGTCCCGTCGTTTCAGCCATGCTTATTCAATACTATCCATACCATTGATTTCTCTATAGAATTAATTCTTAGGCGCATTGTTCGTCTAAACGCACTCTTCAGGAACTGATGGCATTCCAAACTCAGCAATAGGGTGTCGGGCTTCCCCGATTGCTTAGTCATCTATTTTCAGCCTATCTTTTAAACGGTTTACTTCCTGACTCATGGAAAACATCTATTATTCTTCCAGTCCACAAGTCAGGACATCGTTCGGATGTAAATAATTATTAAGGCGTTCATGAAACCCGGCTCTAGCAAAAACTTCTTGAAAAAAAATTACTTTTACTCAAAGTCTTGACTTTTGTACAGAAAATAAGCTATTAAGCTCCTCACAGCCTGGTGTCTACCTGGAAGGTCATGCGAAACGTGTCACTTGGCTCTTCTTAACCTCGTCACTTCACTTCATAATGAGCATCAATCAGTGATTGTCATCAACTTTGACCTTAGCAAAGCTTTGACAAGGTGCCGCACAGGCATCTTCTGGTGAAACCAAAAGCCCTCGGTATCCGGCCTTCTCTCCTCGATTTCATGAATTCGTACCCGTCTAACCAGAGCTAGAAGGTCTTAGTAGGGAATAGATACTCGACTCCTCAGCCGATCCCCCCACCATTTCATTCTTTATATAAAGGAAATTTCACAAGTATTCAATAACTTCCGAATATTTCATTTATGCTGATGACCTTAAGTGCATTTACTCATTTTCTAAGGACACAGCCAGTAGGTGCGCTGATAAAATCAACGCAGACTC